CCGGGGCGGGGGGGGGTCTGGGCCGGGCCCGGGGGGGATCAGAGGCAGAGCCGGGCGTGTGGCCCCGGTGAGGGAGGGAGAGGAAAGATGGGGGCCCCGGGCGGAGGATGCTGGTGGTTTCCAGAGCGGCTGGAGCTGCCCCAAATATACCCCAAAATAGCGAAATGGTCTGATGCTCTCCTAAATCGTGTCCCTCCTCCAAGCGCCGCTGGCTGCTTCGTGCTTCTGAACCTGATTTTTTTTATAAATTGCTATGTTCCCATAACGTGCGTTTAACAACCGCCTAAGTATTTGTTTCTCCAACTTCTGCGTTTTGCACATGACTTGTTGTCTCTGTTCCTCTTTCTGTCAGCGATGGTAAAGGTCTTTCCTGGCTCTTCGCTCTCCTTACATGGAAAAAGGACAAGGTAGTGATTATGAAATGCTGTCAGGTGAACAAAAGTAGAAAGTGTATATTTTGCATGTGTTTTTCTTGTGTTCTCTTCATATTGTTCTGTAACTGTACAAAAAATACAATATTTCCAGGCAGAAATTCAACTTCCCGTTTGATTTTAATTTTTGCATACAAAGGTAGGTTTTTTTAAGTTAGTGAACCAAAGGAGGATTCTTTTATTCCGAACTCTTACAGAGTTTTAATTAAGATTTTGGTTACGCCGGCTGTGTTTGTTGGTCTGGCAATATTTGTTGCTGTCTCCGTGTACTTTCTGTGACTTCAGAGGACTCGGCTCCAAAGAATGAGAGGAAAAATAACTGGGAAAAACAGTTAGGGAAAGGAAAAACACTGAGACCTCAAAAAAGAGACATGACTTACAGCCCTAGTATGAATTCATTGGAACTGAGGAGAGAACGTAGAAGGAGGCAAAGGAAAAAAAAAAGAGCAAGTAGACTGTCTTCCATCTTCAGGTGCAGACAGATCTCTACATTGGACATTCCTCTGATTGTTTTAGGATTAGTATTATGGTCCTTGTATTACCTCCGAGACTAGAGACGAGGCCTCCCCTCTACAAACACAGAGAAAGAAAAAGCCTTGTCCCAAAAAATCTGGGAGTGTAATCGCCACGGAGGAAGGGGGTGGTGGTGACAGGACTATGTGAAGTGACTTGTCACACAGTAAGCAGCAGAGACAAGGGATAGCGCTCCTTTGAAAAGGGCAAACTATACTTGATACTTCAAGTGATTTCCAGACTTAGATCTTTCAAGTTCCCAGAGGAAATAATAGGGCTCTGGAAACCCCAAGTTTATCCTCCTAACTGACCTTAAATTCAACAAAGCGCACAGACAATATAAAGAATGCTGGATCACATGGAAACTGTTGGTTTCAGGACTTACGCACTCAGCTGGAGATACGTGAGCCCTGATCTCTGACCTCAGAGAAGACATCTGGGACATCAAAGCATTCCACTTTTTTTTGAGCTGATCATAACTTAATTCGGGCAACAAGTATGGTCCCTCTCTTGCATCACCAAAGGTCAATTCAACACTGCAAACTTTCATCTTTTTAAGTTTTCATCACTTTCTAGAAGGCAATACTGAAAAACTGAGATCTGAAGGGCTAACTAATCATCTAATGACTCGGCTGAAGCTGGGAAGATTCAGTGGGAAGAGGAGAAGATTGCTGTGGTGCAGGGACAGCTTCAGCAAAGAGAGCAGACAGATTGGGACATAAGTAAGAAAAAACTACACTGAAATATCTCCTCTTCCTTTGTTTGGGAAGCGTCAACCCAAAATATGAGATGTTCAGCAAGGTTACACATATAGCCTTTTTATCAACAACCTTTCTCTGGAAGTCCTCCTAAATTTTTGAGCTGCAAAACCACTTTCTTTTTTTTGCTCTTCAACGTAGATGTGAGACTACACAATGCAGGGAGGCGTTTCACTGTCATCTGTATCCTGTTTACGGATCTCAGAGCTCTGGCTTCTCTCTGCCTAGGCTTGCTTTTTCCTTACTGGGGAAGAAAAAAAAAAAGGAAAAAGCCCTAGATGCCTGATTTAAGAATCAAACAAAAAAACAGTCACTGAAACTAAGCCTGAGGAAGTGTAGCTGCCTCCAGCAAGAGACTCTGCTACTCAGTTAAGAAAAGATGGTGTAGGTGGGACTTAAAGGCAACAGGATAAGAACCGTGCGAGTGTTCAGGAGCAGAAGGGGAGCGCTACATATGGAGGGCATAGATAAAACAAAGTACCACATTGCTGGGATTACAAGTTCCATGGCAATTTAAGAAACAGGCTGTCAATGTGTCCTGAAAAAGATGATATAAAAAGGAGAATAAATGAAGGCATTTCTACATCTCTGCATTCTTTCTCCCGTGTTTGTGTGCAAGTGTGGCTCTGAGTGCAAATGAACATGCGGCCTGAGAACTGATCTCCTCCTACAAGGTGATTCATAAAGTGATTTCACTAATTGCCTGGGGTGTAACCTGTGATACGCATTTTGAGGCTCTGTGGATAACTACTAAGGGAATCCACAGAAGAGAATGTGGAAAAGCTAGCCCGTTATCAAACTTAAAGTAAGAGGGGCTCAGAGGAATCTGCAGTTCCAAAAAAAGGATGAAACCCAATGCATTAGTGGAAGTAATAACTTTTCTTTTCTCGGCTATTTATTAAATGACAACTCTTCAGTTCCTCTTCATAGACTTAGGTTAACTTGAGAAGAAATTCATCCCTCTTCCCTTTAAAAAGTAATACTACTTCAAAAGAAAAAATCCCAGACGTGGAATCAAACGGCTGATTTTTCTCAAATGTTATCTCTAGGAGATTTGAAATGGAATACATATGTTGGTGCAACCTAGGACTTTCAAAATATACAAAACCTTGTGTCTCCATAACATGATTACATCTTAATTACTCAAAAGTAAAAAAATGAAGTTAGAAAGCAGTCATAACAGCTTCGAGTCACATACATTGGAGTTGGAGTGTGGAATCCATTTTACTCCCCCCAAAAAACCATGCAGCTCTTGCTGGAAAACTTTGAGTGTGGAATCCATTTTACTCTCCCAAAAAACCATGCAGCTCTTGCTGGAAAAACTGGGCTTATGTACAGTGAAGTCTTTTTGTATTTAAAATATTGTAAAGATTTTTAGTTAATCTTGTTAATCAGTTAAAGCAACTGCTGGAGATCCATTGTGTGAGCTTAGAACAGCAATGAAGAACTTGAGTATAAACAACTTCTATTATACTGTCTTGTAAATATAGTATTTAGCAGAGTAGCAAAGCTGTAGCAGTAGCCTACTGTATCTAGGCAAAAAGCTGTTGCAGTTGAATTTGATTACGTGGGACATCAGTTTCCTTAAATGTCTGAAAATTTGTCTTCGGTGTGATCTCACCTCTTCAGAGTATTTTGCCGTTGAAGTTTCACTGCGGTGGTGTGAGTCACACTTGGGTTTGTAGTGTTGTTTAGACACCCTGTGCCTTTGTGCAACAGCAAGGGTAGAGGGACAGATTCACATTTTATTAAAAAAAAGGGAGTGAATGTATTTGCTCAAAGTTTCCAGCAAAAATCTGCCTGCTGGAATGAATCCTAATTACTCGGGAAATACTTTATTGACAGTGATTTAGATTCGGGACACTGATAGAAACACTTCCACATACACAAGGTTACTTTTAGGACCAAGAGGCCTTTGAATACCTAAGAGAAACCCATCCTTGATTATATCAATATTCTGAAGATTTTCACAATGCTTTTGCCTTCTCTGACAGCCAGAAAAGAGGTTGCGTGGTTCTGCTCCTAGGAACTCTGTTGGTGTGACATTTTGGGTGGGAAAAGATGAGTAGCACTAACATGCTGTTATTTCCATCCCGCAGACGTTACCCTACGGTTGAAATACGCGCCGAGACCTTCAACGGGTCAACGCACGTGCCTGTGCCATCCGACAGCGCTTTTCTGAAAGCCTTGCTCTTTGAACTGAGGCTGGTGGACGACCATATTTTTGTGGAGCATCGAGACACTTGTACCCGAATCAATCATTCATCCGTTTACTCAGTTCGCACCGAGGGAGGGGATCTCTGGCCCGTGCTTGCTTTTCGGAAGAGCGGTCTGATATACGCCTGTCTTCCACTCGTTGAGGAGACCTTGGAGCCACGGCCACCCCTCCTGAGCATTAGTGGGCTCTCTCAAGGGCTGGCTCTCTTGTTAGGCATTGTGGACTACATCTCTCCAAGTCGGAAAAATGAAGCTGAGATGAGTACAAAAATCAGCCAGCTTCGAAATTTGCTTATACAGGCCTGCCCGCTTGGCACCCCCTTGAACACAAACATCCGCAGCTTGAACAGCTCCTTTGATGACATTCAGGAGATGCCTACAGATGAGAATCAACCGGCTTGGAGATCCAACACGTACAAAGGCAAACCTCAGGTTAATGTCTGTATCACTGAAAAAGTCAAATGTATGCAGTATGACAAAAGAGACGTTGTGGACACGTGGCAGGTTTATGGAGCTGTAAATTGCAAGGTGAGAGCCTTATATCTGCAAGTCCGGCCAAAATGGTTTTCATGGAAGCACACTGGGAAAGTAAATATATTGTTTTACTTTGGTATGTGATCAGTGAATTTCTAGTCCTGTAATATTTCAAAGTGTAACTATTGTGTATCAGGCTGATGTGATAGCACTGGTTTTTATTTGGATCTTTCTGGTTTTTTTCCTGCATGCTTCATGGATTTTTTCAGTAACTATTTATGGGATTTAAGTTTCCTGCAGTAGCTACATTGCATGTATTTTTCCAAAATTTTCTTACTTTAAATGAAATAGGGAGAAAGCATTTCATGCAGAGACTAAGAAATTGTAGTGCTGAGGCCAGGTTTATTTCCAACTATCTTATAAGCAACATGTTAAATAATGATTAGAAACGGAATTTCTGAATGAGTCTTCCACAAGTGGCTTTACGTGAGCATTTTTAATTAATTTTCCTACCAAGTGAAAGCTCAATCTTCTTTGCTAATTTATTCTGTTACAGCAACGTTTTGAATCCACAAATGCTGTTTGTTTGGCTGACATAGGAACCATTGAGACAGAATCTGGTGAAAGAAACTGGTTGTTTAACTATTTTGAATGTTTTGTGTGTGCGGCAATGGTTTTCATGGTTTAGTACTAAAAATTGGGGAATATTGACTAAATCAATAGTAATGATGGAATACATTAAAATTTGTGTTTTCTATAACTGATATATTTAATAGTCTTTGTTCTGAATTATGCTTAGGAAGCACACAATATTATCACAGTAGACTGTATTTATGACTGCCAGTGTTTTAAGAGGAGAAAGATCTTCTAATGAAGTGGATCATGGTAATTTAATTATTTGCAAGAGGTGGGATACTCATCTCTAAAGGAAGCCAACCTAAGTACTGCGCTTCAAAAGACTGGGTCATTTCCCACCAGCCATGCTGGCAGGGATTGTGTGGGTGAGCAGCTTCCTGCTCTCGGAGGGACAAGTTTCTAGGTCATTTTGGGGAGCCGATGGCCTTGCCTAAGAAGAAAGCCCTGGTGGAATCATGCACTGCCGAGCTGGCACGCAGAGGGACCAGGCAATGGATGTGCTGCACGTGGTTGCTGTGAGAAAGCTGACATGGGACCACGATGGCCATTAATAGCATGCCTGAATCCATTAAGCGGATGTTGTAAAAGTAACTGAATTAATTAGACTGTCACCAAGTGTGTTTATGTAACATTTGTAATGATGTAGCCATACAGTAAGCCCTTGGCTTGCTCGTCTGCTGTTTTCTTGCTAAGGAGTGTGTGTCAATTCAGAGACATTTAGCTCAGACTGCATCTCTAGCCCTGTTGTGGGAAAGGCTACAGAAATGGGAAAGGGACTTTGTTTTGAAAATATGTGTCAGTACTAATGTTTGAAGCCAGCTGAAAGTTTTTAATGTGATTCTTTTTAATCCTTGCGTTTGATTTTTGAACACCTAACTCTGACTTGAGGGAGATATTTTAGACTAACTTCTGGACTTCATGTTTTTTTTCCCCCAAGTGTGACATAGAGGGATCTGCACCGAACGTGACCCTCACTTTGAATCTCCCGATGAATGGTCCTCCGCTCCAAGACATCGTGGTCCATCACTGTGTGACTTCTGTTGACCCTGCCATGCTGATGTCCAGCAGTGCCGAGCCGCTGGATGACTCTGTCTACAGTGGACCTTACAAATTCCCTTTTGTTCCTCCTTCGGATTCATTCAACTTGTGCTACTACACTTCCCAGGTAATAACATTCCTGACCTTTGTTATTTTCTTCGAACAGGAATAAAAATAGCTGTGCTTTTGAACGTGTCTGAATGAATTTCAGTCCAATTCAGGCGGGTAAAATGCCTTTTATATAATAAACTGTCTGGAAGGCACTTCAGGACTTGAGTCATCCAAGTCATGTTCAGGAGGTGCCAGTACCCTTGACTGCTTTGTGTGGCTGCTCTTACTTTAAATGAACCCCTTAGATGCCTAAATTAGACGACATTAATCCAGACTGAGATGTCAAGTGCATGTGCCACAAATCTCAGTAACCCAAGCAGCCTGAAGAGTTTGGCGTATACTGCTCAAAACCAGTCAGCAATTAACATGTTTGTTATTTTAAAAATACTTTAGCAATTAAAACGGTATATAACTGGCCTTGTGATGATGGTGTTTATTTATCTTGAGAATGAATATAGTTTTTTCCAGGTTCCTGTTCCACCAATTTTGGGGTGTTATCAACTCATCGAAGAGGGATCACAGTTTAAAATAACAGTTAATTTAAAGCTTCATGAAAGCATAAAGAATTCCTTTGAGTACTGTGAAGCTCGTATACCTTTTTTCAACAGGTAAGAATAAAGAAATCCTAAATAAATTTCTTCCATTTCTCTGTGATCTTCCTGAAATTGACCTGTCAGGAGTCAATATAACAGATTATGCTCCATCAAGGTACTACCAGCAGACACGCACAGACCTTGCAAATGTTGGGAAGTCCCCTTGGAATTCTTGTCATTTCCAGAACAGAGAATTGTACCAAAATACTTGGTGATGCTCTGAATACTTCTGTCATGCATCCAGTTCCATTGTGGGTTGGTTTGGTTTTTTTTAATGTGAGACCCTGCCACAATCCTCCAGGTGGATTAAGTCTCCAGATCACTTCCAACCCAGGGTTACCTGTTCCTTAAGACTGCTAATCCTAGCTACAGATCAGCTTATCAAAAATATAGTTATTTAAAATTAAAACGATAGCTTTCATTTAATCCTCTCTGACAATTTCCATGTCTACGCTGTCACGTAATTATCATGAAAATTTAAAGATGAAATGATACAAAGTTGCTGATGCTGATGATAGTGTTAGTAAAACCATATCGGTGAACTGAAGACGGTAAAATATCAACAGTTCTTTTCTGATTACTAGGTTGAGACCATGGTGATTGCCTCCTGCTCTGTAATTTCTTTTCATAAATTAGCGGCGCACTCAGCTAGGTGTGATTTTTCTGTATGCACATAAATAATGCCTTTCAGCATTTTGTTGCTTTCTTTAACAAAAATGGGTGTTAACAAATACTGAAGAATACTAATTCCCATGGTTTTATTTCTCCTCTGTCCTCCCATAGGGGCCCAATCGCTCAATTAGAGTGCAAAGTTAGTTATGGCCAACTGGATTTGTCACGAGAGAAGAGCCTACTGGTTTGGGTCATTGGTAAGCAGAACACCCCCGTGCTTCTTCCTCCTCCAGTCAGCTTTGTATGGCGAAGGCACAGCTGTATAGCTTCTTACAGATGCTGTTTCTGGCTTTAGGACAGAAGTTCCCTAAATCTTTGGAAGTTTCTCTGACTGGAACCGTGTCTTTTGGCGCTGCAGGCAAAGAGCACCCAACGGATTACGTTTGCACGGGGAACACTGCTTATGTGAAAGTAAGTTGCAGGCTCTGTGAAAAGATTATCTCAAATTGGCTAGGAAAATACGTTGCTTTCAAATAATTGTTAGCCTCTTTGTTCTCAGCGTGGACTTGTCTGTTTTCTTGCTTACGGGATTTGACATCCTGTCGTTTTGGAGTACGCTTGCGCACCAAGAGCGTGTAACACCCATTGCCTGTATTTGCACAGCAAACATGACAATATGCATCTGAACGTGTTTTCACTCTCTTTTTCTAGCTGTATTTTAGGATCCCAGACTTCACACTTACTGGATGTTACGTAGACCAGCATTCTATTCAGATCTTTGCACCAGGAAAACCAAAAATTACTGCATGTGAGTTGCCAAAAATGTCATTCGTTTAACTGAAACTGCACGTTGAAGTTATGAACTGGATGTCAGTGACTAAAATTAGGAGGCTGAAGTTGGGCAGAGCTTTTTCCTGGTTTCTTTGGGACATCCTAGAAATTTTTTCTGCTTTATATTTTTTTCTTGTGATGCTTAATGTGTCTCTGGAATAGAGACTGGCATCTCTGAATGGCTTTCTCATTCAGATGAAAGCTCTTATCACTCGGTTACAAACTCAGGCTCTCTCTTGGACTCTCTCCTCTTTGCCCTGTGATGTTTTACATAATGGCAGAACTTTTATTGGCAGGGGGGAGCAGGGAATGCCTCCCCATAGTGTGGCCTCTTGTTTAGGACACTTTTGTCATGGATGTGATATGTGGATTGGAGTTACCCAGGTACAGAACTCAGCTCCTGCGTGCAAGGTGTGAACGTTGCTGTCAGCATCATCACACCAGCAGCTCTTGGGGGACGTGGTACTATGTTGAATCTGTGGAGCAGAAACCAAATCTGCTTATTCTTGAGTTAATACGTGACTACTTCCAAGTTTGCACCAAAACCAGACTAATTGGGAACAGAGTAGGCACTCATTAAATTTGAGCAGTATTGTCTAATGGAGGCGTTTTTATTTGTTGCTGTTTATCTGTTGCACCTTCTGTCAGTCATGTCAGCAGAAGGCTATGAATGCCTTTTGAGAACTGTGATCTACACAGTTCATTTTGCGACAGGTCACATTCAGTCCTAAATTGTAATACAAAAAAAAAGGCAACATTTCCATACTGTATGTTTTATATCGAGTATGCAATTTATATTCATTGAACAAAATCCAAGCCATCCACTTGCTTTTTGACTTAAACTCTGTTTGAATTTTAAGCTCATGACTGATACATTAGTAAAGGTAATTGAAGCTGAGACTTTAAATGTCTCATTATCAGAAACTATTTTCAAATAATAATAAGAGTCTTACAGTTTAAAGAGGCCATTATACCTTTTCTGTAAACTAGTAAGGATGGATTAGTAGTCTCTTCACCTGGATGAAGGAATGTGTGATTGTAAGGCACCCTCTAATGCTTATTTTTATTGCTTGTTTTGTTTTTTTTTAGCTGGGGAACTGATTTCTTCTGATTACTACATCTGGAATTCCAAAGCGCCAGCACCTATGGTGTACAAAACCTTATTAGACTAATTTCCTTGTGAATGATTTTTGTATTTAAACAAAACAGACAACTGATGAGAGTATGTGAATATAATGTGAAATACAGTGAAAATAAATATTTTCCAGCACTTGTACTTCGTATGTTTGCTTAAAAATTTATGTTGAGGAAAACCAAAAGAAGTCACTTCTCTTAAAAACATAAGTTGGTTCTAAATTGTTTAGTCCTGGATAGCAGCTTAGAGAAGTCAATTTGAAATGTACTTGCTGTGGCCATTTTTACTTTCCCTTTTAATATTAGCTGGTACAAAATTAGTACCTAGTGATACAGATACAGACTGGTGTGACTGGGCACGTCTTCCGGGAGGAAGTTACTTCACTGGTTTTGTAAACTGAAGAGCTGATGGAAGGTGAAAGCTTTCAGTGTCTTACCAGTGGAATCTGATTAGACCCCAGGTTAACAGGACAGTTAAAAGCAGGAGTTCTGTTCTTTTCATGAGATGTGTACAGAATACATCCGAGTCAGTAATTTACAAGAATTTTAGGAGAGGGAGTATGGCGGGAGCGGCGCTTCTGAAAGTGGCGACGATACAGGGGTCTGTATTGTCCCTGTCAGCAGAAGTGGTGAGTTCCCTTCCACGCATGAACTTCTGCCTGTGAACTGCCTTGCTTTGAGAACTAGCGTTAGTGAGGACCCAGAGCTGGGAACCTGCTTTTTCAAATCACAAGATGAGCCCTGAGTGGGCAAAACCAGCTGAGTTTGCTGGAGGTTCCAAAAACCATCACTGAACTGTTTTCCCTGGAAAAAAAAAAAACAGACAGAAAAGAAAAGGACTCAGTTTACCAAGGCAGACCTCTAATTTTGAGAAGAAAATTGTTATCTGCAGGAACACAGGAAATGAACTTTTAAGAGTTATTGGGAAATGAGCAAATTCTGAAAGGCTGGTGAAAAAGTGAGAGAACCTGGAGAGCAGCACAAAAGAAGAGAAGAATGCTGCCTAATAACCGAGCGTGCCGGCTGCTCCTGCCGTACCTCGTGTTTAACTGTACCCTGTGTGATAAATAAGATTAGTGATTATTTAAGGAGAAAAGTTTTAAGCTATAATTTAAAAAATCCTTAGATTGAGATAGTAATCTAATCGGTTGGTTAGATGTTCTAAAGGGTGGATTAATTCATGTGAAACGAGCCGTTCAGCTGAAACTGCCACGCAAACTCCAAAAACAGAGCTGGGCTATGACTCGTTTCAGAGAGGTGATGTGTCCCTTTTGATTAGCAGGAAAAAGGTGAATTAATGATTTTGCCCAGAACCCAGCTATACAGTCCTCTGCGCGCCTGGATGTCCCAGTGTGAGTGGGGAGAGGGGGGGCTTCTCTCTGTTGGAAGGGTTTAGCTCGTGTTCTGTGTGCTGAGCACTCGCCGTGGGATTTTGGTGTGTGGTGTTTGGTTTCCACCTACCCCCAAGAAAGCTGGGAGATCTCTGTTCCACACAGCAGCATTCTGGGAGGGTGGCTTTTCCTCTTCGCAGTGTGTCCCCACGAAATGCTATGGACTGTCAAAATCCACAGCACATGAGAAGAGAATCCCTTTGGACTTAATAGCTGGGGGGCCTCCCCAAATCAGGTCCTTTTTTGTTCTCCTCTTGTCCCTGTGTCTGTCTCTCTCTCGAAGTCAGGAGAGCTGCAGTTCTCGGGAATGGGAGGGAGCTGCTGCTTTAGATGACTTTATGCCCACCTCTCAACACCAGTTTGGATGGAGGGAGGGGGTGGGTGATGTGTCTCTTCTTGCCCTGAGCAGTTTTCTACAACTTGGTGCAAGCCATCACCTGTTTTGATTTATTATAAGGGTGTGCTCCATAAATCTCTGGATTTTACTGCTCTGCCCCTGCTCAGGGACAGCTCTGTAGTAATGCTGGTGGAGAAAGAGTCAGATGAAGCCTTTCTCCTGGCCTGGTGGCTACACTTGCCTTTTGGGAAGGGGAAGGGCCCGTTTTCATGGGTTCTTCATAAATATTAGTAACCTAGTAAAGTGAGCTTAATAGCAAACTTAGTAAGCTTATAAACTAGATTGTTGGTGGCTCCGGTCTATCATGACTGAGGTTCTTCCAGCATGACATGCAGAACACAAGGCATGGAGAGAAACTTGTGGTGTATGTAGAGCTTTTAGGTGCCTCCAGAGCTGGCCAGTAAATGGGGACATGGGAAATGACACTAGAAACCAGAGTTCGAGGAGTTAGAAATGACTAAACCCTTCTGTGCATCTCCGTGTGTTCCCTGGTAGTTCCCCAGACAATTTTCCTGTTTCTCTACATGCTCTGACTATTTTTTTCTGTTTTAAGAGGGGAAAAAACCACTTTTAAATCTGAATCAGGAAGATATGGTTAAGAGATCACGTGAGATTGAGGACTCCATGGCAGAGGTGGTATCTCACAGTAGTTCTGGTGGGCTCTAAAGACGGTTAAGCCCTGTGTCAGTGGTATTCCTTTAGCTCTTTAAAAAAAAACAAGTGTTTAATACAACAGTTTCTTTAAAAACTCAGTGGTATTCCTTTAGCTCTTAAAAAAACCCATCAAGTGTTTAATACAACAGTTTCTTTAAAAATACTTTGTGTTAAAGGGGAAAAAATGAAAATTCTCTTTTTCTACAGAGTGCTATTTCTTCTACAGGAATCCTTGCAGCTTATATTTATAATTTTGTCACAAATACCAATGAAAATTCTCTTTTGCTACAGAGTGCTATTTTTTCTACAGGAATCCTTGCAGCTTGAAGGGCTTATATTTATAATTTTGTCACAAATACCAACTATATGAGATCTGTGCAGATAGCTGTGCATGAAGACTTTCAAAAGAGGTGGCCAAAGAGTTCTCCAGACTTAGTATTGCATTTCAGAGGGTTAGAAGAAAACTACCATGCAAACCCTTGACAAGAATAACCAGAAGGACTTAAATACTGGCTTGTCAAGCTGACATTTTTCCCAAGCAAAATAATGGGTATAAATAAGAAGTTAAAACAGAAATCACTTCATTAATAAAAGGAACTTGCTTCATTTCTTTAAAATTTTGGGGTAGCGTAACTAGTGCCAATTAACATGATTTTAAAGCAAATACATACTGTCAAACTTTTCAAACGACACTGCACATTTAGCTGGCAAAAAGAATTGATGTAATGGACCTCTAAGAAATGAAAATAATCCAAAGTCCATGTATAACCCGTTAAACGGTGAGAACTGGCTGACATTTCCAAATGCAGCAGCGATGGGGAGCTGTCATCAAACATGTTTTGGATCCCAGCTGTGGTGTTTAACACTCTGAGGAAGGTGTGGAAGGAAACGGGGAATTTGCACTGATGAAGGTCGCAGAAGGTGTGACGGCTGAGAAGCAGTAATTACAGAAGGTGCTGAAGCCCTCGTTCAAACTTTGAGGGTCTGAATGTCTCAAGGGGAAAAAAAAAAACCTAAAAAAAATAAAAGTCGATGTTCCAGCACAAGCAAGGGGCAAAGGTGTGGATCTGAGAACAGATGCTGTCAATACAGGGTGAGAGGAAAAGGGAGCCAAGGAGTGTCAAAAAGAGCTAGTATGTGACTTGGGTGTGCCTTGCTGTGGCCAGAAGGACCCGTGAAACCATTGAATGCACAAGAAGCAAAACTGCAGGAGAACCTGGCCCTGGTGCGATTCTCACCAATCCACGTGGCCCCTGTTTCTAGGAAAAGTGTCCAAACTCTGAAGCTATGGAGAGCTCCTGAGCTTCTCACCAACATGGCGCTTGTTCTTCACCCCCATGCCCTTGCTACCTGTGGTGGAGCCTGCCTCTCCCTCAAAGTGTTGTGTCCAAAGGGTTGTACCGAGGTCCCATGGTGAGGAGAGGGATCTCTTCAGGTGTCTTAGGTGCATTTCTCCAACTCTAAGTCCTGAATTGCACCAGAAGCGAGATGGGACCAGGAAGCCCACCTTCCCTTGACTGGTAACCACTGCTGGAGAAGAGCTTCCCAGGCCCCCCAAGGATCACCCTCCCACCAAAGTCACCTCAACCATATCTCCTGAGCTTTCCAGTCATATTGGGAGACAAGAGTCAAAAGCATCATCAGTGATCCATGTTGTCAAATCTGTTACTTATCACTACTCAGTAATGTGGTGCTTTTCTAGTTTTCTAGAAGCCCTTTCCTCCCACCAGCATCCCAAGGTATTTGGTGACTGCTCCAAGGTGGAATATCCCAGTTCCTCAAGTACTTTGAGGTAAATCCTGTTACTTCAGCTAATTTATAAGCAGCTACTTTTTATACATAATTTAGCCCTTCCCTCGTCTGCATTTTTATCCCACTTTTACCAATGTTCATTACTTCGACCTTTTGTTAACAAGTAAACATCGAAACAGCAAGGCATTAAACACGTAATGGCACTTGTCCTCTATTTATTCATGCTAGCCTAGAAATTTGCCACACTCTGTCCTATTTGTACAAGCCCTCCTGGGTTTTAAGCCATAACAGAGGTTGTGAATAAGCTCATGTTTGTCCTTCACTACTTTTGCAGTCTTCTTCACTCCTACCTTGTTCTCTCATCCTTCAGAGGACAAAAGAGAAGAGTCTCCCTCCTGGAGAGGGACAAGAGACTCCCCTGGGCAGCCTTGTCTCTTTGACTTATCACCCATAGGTTCCCACTTAGCAACTTTCTGAACATACTGAAATTTGGTCCTATTCCCCTTCTTTCCCATGCCTGGAGTTCTCCAAGCTTTATTTTATTGTCACCGTCTCCCACATCGCCTTCTGCTGTCCCATTGTCCATTGGCTCCTCAGACTGGGATCTGAACCAAGACCACGCTGTATCTGCAGCAAGAATTTACCGAATAGTCAGTACGGACAAAATACAAGGTATTGCCAACAGCACCTTTTAGGGTGGAGAAACCAAGCCCACCTGAAGCCGTGTCCACCCTGAGAGCACCATGGCAGGAAACCCTCCATCCCTCAGTCCCGAAGGAGCTGTTAGATGAGAATTTTGTGGATCCCAGTTTGGGAAGTGCAAACTTCCTTGGAAGAGCTGCTAAAGCTGTCAGGGGGAAGCCCACAGGGGCACCCTGGGGTTGTTCTTAAACTCCCTTCCCTTCCTGCCACCCCAAATTATTCAGGTGCAGGGAACAGAGA